GGGCGGGGTGGAGTTAATTATATAATCGAACCTGTAAACAGAGGTCACCGTGAGAAAAAACAAAGACGCAGACGCACGATTTTACACTGGAGTGCACATTCTTTCCTCGTTTTCTCAGTATTCTCGAACTCTCCAAAACTGTGTTAGAAATGTTAATGTTTTCAATATGCCTTTGTTACTGTAAAATTGTGATGTTCCAAAAAGATCAATGGGTTTCGGGGATCTGAACAAACTGTTTATCGTGCAGATTTTAAAAAACATAAAAATCGGTATGTCCGTCAAAATATAAGACTGTTTGTAAAAAGAAAGGCTACATGAGCCCCGGTCGGACCTCTGCATCATGCACATTGCACGTACGTACTGCATACAAATCTTTGGTACAAATTCGAACGGCGCGTGGTCTTGTGAAGTTTTGTGCCAAGGGGCATTACTCTTTATGAACTAAAGTGTTCAGGATGCTGTCCCTTGTTTTGATAAACTCTAATACTCCGATCAATGCGTTTTTAATTTAATTTGAACAGAATGGATACGAGCGTTCTTTTCTGAGAGCAGCATGATGTATCAATAAGAAGATTACTGAGGAAAAACGGAAGGCATGTTTTAATTTCCAGAAATGGTAGTACTGAAACGTCATCACCTCATATCTTCCAAAGGACAGTGCTGCAATTCTCTTTTCATTTTTACATGAACTCTGTCAATGTTCTCCTTTAGAATATTAAGCTAGGTTAATAGGGTCTTATGCTGCTAAGGAAGAAAAAACAGCAAAGTAAAGTTTAGGCCTCTAAACTTTTTAAAACATAGGAAAACGTATTTTTACTCTCGAAGACGTTCGAGTTTTTTATATAAATTATAGAATCTATGTTGGCCTATAATAATATTATTTATGGTATCGGTCTGAATTCTGTCTAAAAGCATGTCTCTCACTTTTATCAAAATGTTGGCTTTAACCCTGAAGCCACTAAATTATAAACACGAGAGAATTTGCCTGTTGGGGGTAGATCTAAATGCTGACCGGCTCAATTCTAGCGTAAGGAACGCTGGGGTTTCATATTATCACGCTTCAGTTACTGCCATCAAAACATAGCCAGACGTCACTGAAGGGTGGAGTTTTCACGAACAGTTTAAAAAGAAGTGACGCATAATAATATATATTATTTACGAGTATTTACGTGTATTTACGAGTGCCTGTATCTTATCTTTTCAGGATATGTTGCGAAATGCTCTGAAATCGTCACATATTCGTCAAGAAGTATTATTTTCGTTCCGGCTTTTACCTTCGCCGGTCTGTTTTTAGCCTTGAGCAAAGAGTTTGGCCTTGAGACATCTTTTCTCTTGTACTACCACCCCCACGCGCCCCCTTTCCTTAAATAAGAAATATAAACTAAAACGAATATATTACAAAAACAAACAAAAAGGGACAAACACCAAGGAAAAACATGCAAAGAAAGATCCCATGAATATACCTGCACTCGTAGACTTTTTTTTTTTCTTTTAGAAGACAAACACACTTACAGATACATCTATGTAACCTGCACACATTCGGTCCTCTTTCAAAACTTTCTCAGAAGAAAGCGTTCACTTCGACATAGCCCAACCCATGGAACATAAAAAAAGGAAAACAAATTAGTATCGTAAAATAAAAAAACACAATCCAATAACGAATTCATAAATTCAGAATACTCTAAAGAACTGGGGGGGGGGGGGGTTGGGTTGTCCTACAAATTATTCACATACATACATACATACATACACACACACACACACACACACACACACACACACACACACACACACACATACATACATACATACATACATACATACATACCTACCTACCTACCTACCTACCTACCTACCTACCTACCTACATGTTCCCAGTTTCCTTCTGGTACTTTTCATTGAACACATCAGAAAAACTCTATTTGATAAAGTAATTGTACCATCTACGTGCCCGGGGTGGCTTTTAATGTTATAGCATGTTATGTGAAAACTAGCCTCATCTACATGTTATTACATAGATCTCGACTAGATATTTCAGGTCTGGCAAGCGTCATTTGGAATGTGTAATTAGGTGAACGAATAATACGCTATACTTAGGGAAAAGGATCTTTCATTATGGATGCAGAATACAAGCAAACCTGTAGGTAATCGAAAACATTATATCAAGTCTATTAAAATGCCAGTTACCTAAAGAATCTCGTCGAGTATTGATATGAGTGAGTCTTTGATTATGTGACGACAGATATCAAACAGAGAATTCTTGAAACAACGAATAAAGGAATTTTGAATGTAGCTGTAAGACAAACAACAACGAAAATAGAGATAAAAAGAAATCCAACCCGAAAACGCGTTGGGTATACCTGGACGAGAGAGAGACTGACTTTATTGGGAGTTTTTTATCATGAACTCTGAGAAGGGAGCAGGCGTACCGCAAACGCTTCGAAAACACAAGAAGCGGAGACTAGAGATTTGCCGTGAGTTTTCGTACACGTATCAAAAAAGAAAAATTAAGTTAATAAAAGATAAAATCAAATTTATTTTATTTGTTTTCGTGTGTCACCCACAGTGGTAGGTTCATGCAACTTCACAATAACTGACTTGAGCAATCAGTAATTAATTATTCAGCTTAAATTAATCACGTGGAAAAGAGAACTGTACACAGGGGGGGGGGTAAGAAAATAAATTCCTCCTTTTCTAAGCTGTTCCAAAGAGTAAATAAAGAAATTTTGCATTTATCTGTAAAAAAAATTTAAAAATCTAATTATAAGTCTGATTCCAAAGGAAAGAGTATGACTAGTATTTATATATATAACTTATTATAAAACTGACTCGGCAGAAGTACATTTAATATTTCCCTTATTGGGGTACAGCACGTGAGGTCGGTCCTGGGAAGAAAAACGGAAGAACAAAGGGGGACGTTTATAGATTCTATTATTATTATTATTGGCACCACTTCAGATATGTTCAATCATCCAACTGTTCGAACCTTTCAGCCCCTAGATAACAGTGGTTTTAATACCAGTTTTCCAGGGTATCGAGACTGGCGCTGTTGGCACACACGAGGCTACTTATATTACTGTATAAACCAAGCCCTTGAATTGAAGTGCCTTCCGTTGTTATCTTTCTGTGTTCCTAGCTTTCCTTTTTGGCCATAGGCCAACCCGTCGATCTTTTTATTTTATTCAATTACTTTCATGTTCAGCCAGCGAGTTTGTTGAGTTTTTGTTGAGTTTTACGGCTCTAGCAACGTAAATAAGTCATGTATAAACCAACAAATAGAATGGTCACTATAGAGTAGCATACAAAAAAGAAGGAGAGTTATAAAAACAATAGATGTTTCATAGAAAAGGAGAAGCAAACCACGCCAGAGCAACAGCCCAGCTATCCAACCAAATTACCAAATGGCACAATCATTTGTTTTTTTAAATAAATGTTTGTTCGTCTTTTTAGCATAATGAAAATAGTGTGATCGTTTGCGGTTGCGAGCTCCGAAAGACTCTTACTAAAAACACGTCTGATTTTGTAGCAGTGAAACCTGTTGGCGCTTAAATTACCAAAATTGTGTCGATAGTGCCGTAAAACATCTACCCAATCAATCAATCAAAAAACGGTGGGGACTGTATAATTTCAAAAGTTGTTTACGTTCAACGTTTCGTCACTTTGTGTTTCGTCAGGAACATTTTAAAAAATAATAATAATTTGTAGACTTTTCGCATCACCTTTTACCTGCGACTGTTTGCCCCTCCCTCTTCCCCATCCCCAAAGCTTCTGAGCCTGGCACTGCTGGTATGTGGCGTCATCGTGGTCGCTGGCAAAGACATCTACAACTCTCTGCTGGACAAGTTAGAAGACGAGCTCCAGGCTTCGCTTACCAGTGCAGGTGAGTTGTTTGTACAGTGAGCGCTTGTTAGTCTAATACCCAGTGCTCGCTGCAGAAAGTTCCATCAAATCTCTATATTTATGATATAATTTTATACATTCAAGGGCGTCCAGAGTTTACTCCTCGGGGAGGCAAAAGCTACCATATGGCACAATTTTGTTAGGTTTCCCATGTCATAATCGGGTCCAGATGCTTAAGAGCAAGGTCTACAGCCAACAGGAAAGCTACAAGGTGCCACTTGCACTTTGCGGGGTCAGATCTTTTGGTGTTGTTGTTGTTTTTTTTGCGAAACTCCATAGGCCCTAAT